GTTGCGTGTGAAAAATTAAAAAGAAGAAAAAAGAGAAGATTGAAAACCAGCAAGTTATGACTTTTTCAAACCCTTCAGTTTTACAATGGCCGCCAATTACAGTTATATAATTCTATTGATTTTGTTTCACGTTCGTTAAAGAAGTTACTTTTTTTCTTTCATCTTAAAATTTTATCGCACTCTCTTGATGTCTCTCAACACCGCATTTGTACTTTCTTAATACTTACTTCTTAAAAGCTTCCACGTTCAGTTTCAAACTGAACATCTCGCCCGCGCCAGAATTATAGTAATCTCTGACGGACGGCGTCAAATGCGTTGAAGCGTATTTCTCGAAGTCCTCGATACAGATCATTGGTTCAGCCATAATGTCTACGATTAATATTAATAAATTCACCATATACACACAAAGCGTTTGGAACGTTTATGTTGAAAGCATTTCGAGACTGATGGTATAATAAACAGCGATAACACTGCCAGAACGAAATATTAACTAATCAATGATTATCAAGTTTGTTTACAGTGCTAATAAATCGCACAACACGAGACGAAGCTTCTCTACCATTCGAAATATTCCCTTAATTACATATTACCGTGTATAGAAATCTGAAGACAAATTACCGTTTTATAATGCGGCGAGTACTGATAAATTAACAATATTTGATACTCGCGCGGAAGCAAGGAAATTGGCACTTTTCTCGTCTACGAGACAGATCGATCTCTATTCTTGAACAGCCGGTCCCCTGAATCAATTGATCAATGCGCCCCAGCGAGGAAATCGTACGATTTAAATGGCTCCGATTGTCTCGGCCAGCTGGTCTTACAACTAGTGACTGGAACTGACGCGAAATCATCCAGATAACCCGGGAGAGGTAGCGTGTCCACACTAATGTGTGCTACTGATAAAACTGTTCGCTTTATCTTGACTGGCCGCTTATCTTCGCAGATTTAATGAAAGACGCGTGTTGTTAACCGATTGCCGGAAGATGAATCGCCCTCTGTGCTCCCGAGATCGAATCAACACTGGATCACAATGATGTAATTAAATGGGCATGACGATACTCGCCAGATATCTAACTTAAAGAGTTCGCTCTTACGGTCAAAGTATAAGTGATTTACGAATCGTCCTTGCGAATAATTTCCTAGCCAACTGACATGTTCGTCGGTCCAGAGTATGTGGATTTGTGTTTGTAATGTCACACTTTTTTTTTTATTCGCTACGTAATGTAGTTACAATACGGAATAAAACATTTAAAATATAAAAACATTCGGTGGCAAATGTTGTAACACTTCCGAATGATAGTGTTAAATTACAAGATTAAGATTTTTTTTTTTTTTTTTTTTTTGAGGTATTTCAGCACTCGAGAGATTAGTTCCTTTTATGTAACACGCGAGATTAACAATTAAATACGTGCCAATATCAATCACTTGATTTGCACGACCTGTGTTGCAATCGTCGTACGTTTTTTTTTTTTTTTTTTTCAACGATTCATAAACACGTGTTCTGGATCATGCGGATTAAATGGAACTCGCAAGTGTTGATGGACGAGCTGTCAAAGCGTTCGCTCATTGGAACCCGATTGACAGTTAATTCCGCGTTGTATCGTTGATAATGATACCGTTTGTGTCTTATCGTCGAATTCCGCGACTATCTATCACACGATCTTACAAACTATTTGAAGTCTGGTGAAAAATTTTGAAGCCTGACGGATTATTAACGAGAGGGGGAGAGGAAAAAAATGAAAATACTTATGCAATGCTCGCTGAACGCGTAACTTTCCAGTGTGTGGAATCATTTAACAAATATCTCTCTCTCGGACGACAACAATCGTAATACGCGTGGTATTTGTGCAAGACACGATTTTTTTTTACTTTGTAACTTACTTATAGAGGGAGAGACGTTTGATAGCTCGCGAGTTCAGGCGATTGAACTTCAAAGTTCGTCGATTACGATGAGAACGAGTGAAAAAGGTACTGAGAAATACATCTACCCCG